ATTACTAGTCCCTTAATACTATGGAAGTCAACGATAAGAACCGGCCTGATGATGAACTAGGCCTGAACACGGACTTAACCTTTTACGTTCGGTCGTACCTCGTCCTGATGATCATTTAGTGTGTGACACAAAAGTTCTCAGTGATGTTATCATACACACAAACACATCTTTGCTTAGACTGATTTTAAATACATTCCAAGCTCAAGTTCTTGGGTTTAACCTGACCTGTCTGATGGATCCATTTTCTCTAAGAGGGGCAGCAGCTTTTCATCGGCGAGCTGTTTCACGTGCAGCTGAAGACTGAGCAGCTGAACCTCATGATGGAGTCTAACAAGCTCGTAAAGATCCTGCACAAAAAAAAGAAAACAAACAAGACAAGTAGTCTGTGCCAGTCGCCTTCTCAGTATCACTCTCAAATCAGCCTTAACAGACAAACTTCTCTTTGAGTCATTATTATTTTTGTTCGATAAAATCTCTTCCAGTCTCTACAAAAAGTAGCGACATAACTTATTCGGTTTGAATAAAACAAGGTTTTGCATTTCCTCATAGAGTTCACTGGAAGAAGTACAAAGTAGATCTCAGATACGACGAGCTCCTGCGACTGATGAATAGTTTAAAGCAGCGAGAGAGCTGGTTTATTCAAAGACAATAAACACAGCAGTGGTAACTTTGATGATTTGATTTGACAAATCAAACACACACAACACAGAAGATGTCGAGCGAGATAGGAAGGAGGACGGATTATTGGAAGGACGAGACAATTTCAAAAAAAAGTGTTTCCACTAAGCGCTTAAGTGGGCGGGTACTTGATTGATTATTCCAGGGAAGGCAATTATTCGAGGAAATACGGTATTTATTTACTTCCAACTTTACCTTGGCAGAGGAGTAAGTGAAATCTACAGTACCACATTGCTTGTTAAATTCCCGGAATAGTCCACCGCTCGGCTAGTCGTCAATTTCATCAGGCAACCAGCGAGAAAGAAGGACACAACCATTACTCTGCTCTTGCTGAGCACGCGAGTCTTTCAGTGCGAGGTCCCGATCAAACGCACTGCAGTTCCCGCAAGGACAGCACGTTGTACGTTGTTCTTCTGCTGAGGGAGAAGAAAAAAGAGAAGAGAACTACTAACTTAATGTTTAAAGTAATAGCTTCTGAACGCTAAATATTTACAATTCAAGGGAAATCAGAATGAAAAATATTAGTTGTCCCAAGCCCTCGACCCAAGCCCCTAGACCTGGGTCCAAATAGTGAAAAGTGATCAGAATGTAACTTCTCTCATCAATATTGATACAAACGCAAGCATCAAGCTCTAGAGAATAAATAATCTCATCATCAAGGAAGATTTTTTTGATCATGATCACTTCTCCCCACTAGTATAAAGGAAATGTATGAGGATCAGTTTGAAGAATTTGTATGTTGACATCAAGGCTTAAAGTCCT